GTTATAAGTGTGTATAAGAACAAAATGAAATATCAAAATTACTTTTTTCAACAAGCAGGCTAAGCTTTGTTCTACTGTAGATTCGATTTGCTGCTCTATGAGGTTTTTTATATGTATTACTTAGGTAATAGTATTTGCGATAAAACTGAATTACACACCCAAGGCTCCCTCACTTATTTCCATATACATACATATGTACTTAGATAAGTATATAAAACCAGGAATAAATGAAAGAGTTTTACATTTTTGAAGTTATTACCGGCTGTATAATTCGTCATTAAGTTAGGCTAAACACCATAGCGACTGCTGAGTGGAAGATCGACCTATCTCGGCAGCCACTTCGAAAACACCCTATCTCAAAAAACTTTTCAAGAGCGCCCTATTTCAGAATTTCATTGAAAAACAATCTATCTCGGAATTTGGTTGAAGAACGCCCTATTTCAGAATTCGATTCAAAAATGCCCTATTTCACTTCAAAATGTATTGAAAATGTGCTGATATAGGGCGTTTTAGAATCGGCAGCTGAGATAGGGCGTTTTTGAAACGAATTCTGAAATAGGGCGTTCTTCAACCCAATTCTGAAATAGAACGTTTTTGAAAAGTTTTTTGAGATAGGGCGTTTTCGAACTGGCTGCCGAGGTAGGTCGATCTTCCACTCAGCAGTCGATAGGTAGATAAAGATAAGGTGTTCCTTGATTTGCGGACTGGATTGTGGCAACGTCCTCAGCCATTGGTGATGTTTTGTTTGAAAATGCTCGTTTTTTATATGTATTTGAAGCTTTTCGGCCCAAGAAAAGAATGCTAGTTTATGTTTTTTTTTTTTGTTTTTGAAAACGCTTGTTTGAAAAAAAAAATATCAGAAAGGTGTTTAAAGTATCCCCATCGAACGCTTCATGATCATCGTGTTAGGCCTAGTCGGCGCAAAATGTGTGGCGGGAGTGGTCGCAAAACTTCAAAACCAACAGCCGAATGTACTTCATCGCCTACGCAGTATAGATCTAACTTTTAGACCATTTTATATTTTCCTCATTAAGGGACAGTTTTTCAGTGCACGGCGGTGCTCCATCTGGCTGGTTTAAACTAAGATCAGCCAATCAAATGTCAACCAGCTGCTCAATTTAAACTCAGTTTACTTAATCTAAACTTAAACTGGCATTGAAAAACTGGCCCTAAGAAATAATTACCAAAAAACAATTTAATGTTGAAGAGAAGTGCAGTAAGGTATTTGGGCCTAGTATTTTGAAGGTCCATATGTATAGACCATTGAAAAGGTCGGCATCAAAAAATTAAATGTTATTCGATGGAAATAAATCCGCCCCTACCCTGTGAATTGAGCAACCATCTAGAGATTTCGGGCATCCTGCTGTTGGCCCTGAGTGGAATAACAGCTTCAGCTGTTGACCTACAGAGAGTTCATCCGCCAAAAGTCCCTAGACCTGATAGCTCCAATAAATTTCGGGCGAGCCATGATATTCTCCTCGTCCGCCGAAACCCCCGAGGGGTTCCACAAAAAAAAACCGTCGCTACTCAGCCTGGCTACTACACATTGCTTCCCAACTCTTGTAGGATACAATGTTGTTCACCTTCGAAAGCATTGCTAAGGCTTTCATGTTTCTGCGAACTGTTTGACCTTTCTCTAACGAATACCCGATACAGGCCAACCAATATTTTTTAATATAAGCTGAGAAACAAAGAATTATTTTCTTCTCAGTTTCCGTATATCCTATAAATTCAGTTATCATCTGTTAAGTAGTTTTGCTTCTTTTACTCTAACAACTATAATGGTGTCCGCGGAATTCTCAATAAAGCCATAAGTTTCAGCTGTTGAAATAATTGAATTTTATTGCATTGGTTACGTATTGCATAGGTCCTCTCTCCACACTCCACAAAGAGCAAAGTACGAAAGTTTTTATAAACAGAAAAAATACTGATACGCACTAATGCTTTTCAAAAGGCGACGCCAGCCACGCGAACCAACACTACTTTATGCCCATAAAGCTAGTGAAACTGCGATTGTACTTTATTTTGCAAGAATATAGTATGTAAGTAAACAGTAAATATGTGTAAAAATACATATACCGTTGGACCAAGTTAAAAGTGAGCAAACTTTTTGATTTGTTATTTTCACAAGGCTGTCACATTATTTACAAATTAAGCCAAGTGCGCAACCAACAGTTAGCGTATATTCGCACCATTTTAGAGGGCGTAGTAGGATGTTTGGTTGCTTGCATGAAAGGTAATGCGCTTGTACTTTGTGTGAGCAAAAATCGAGAATCACATTTTATTACTGTTTGGATTTTGGCTTTGTATCTATGTATTTATTGATGGCCACTCCAAAGCGATGTAGTTTTTATTTTTAAATACTTTTCCGAAGGAATACAGCCTATAATAGAGACGAAGACTACAAAGAGCCCGGGCCTTAGGTTTTTTTTTAAATGCTCTCGCTTATTCCTTTGAATACTTTGTTTTATTTAAACAAATTATCGCTCCTAAGTGTATGGTTGTGTGATTTTGTTCGTTGGGTATTCATAGGTGAACCCTTTTTTTCGATACTACATAACCCTTGATTACTTTAAACCACACACTTTTTACTTTTTCCTCATTTCATAGCGCAAAACTTTCGCCGTCTCACATCACGGCAAAAGCGGTGGCCTGACGTTGGACTGGCAGTCTGGCTTCTCGCTAGCGGAAGGCGCCGACTCGGCCATCGTTTGGCAATATAAATTCTCCCAACTACGCGGTTCGAGCGATGATGGAAAATCAAAATTAAAACTACATTTTCAGGATCATGAAACGCGTGCAATTGAAACAAAAGTAAGTAGAAGCATACAAACACCATAACTTATTCTATATTTCATATGGAAATACATACATATGTACATTAGGGTAGTACTTAAAAATTAAAAGAACGATTTTTTTTCAGTTTTACCCCCTCAATCGATAAAACCATGGTCACAGATATCACATATAAATTTTAGTTCCGATTGGAGACTCTTAAGGCGTGTCGCACTGGTGGCAAAGTTCAGATTCCTCTACAGAGAGACAAAAAATTTAAATTATTATTTTTTCATCTAATACCTAAAATCGATACTACCATAGTCGAAGATATCACATATATATTTTAGTCACAACTGGAGCCGATTAAAGCGTGTCGCAAAAGGGGTCAAAGGCCTCTAAGGAGACTCAAAAAATTTGAATTTTTTTTTTCATTTAATAGACACCTACCCAAAATCGATACTACTAAAGTCGAAGATATCAGATTTAAATTTTGGTCCCGATTGGAGTCGGCAAAGACGTCTTCTTTGATATCGGGACCAATATTTATATGTCATATCTTCGACTATGTTAGTATCGATTTTGGGTATTAGGTCAATAGGAAATTAATCTTAATTTTTTGAGTCCCCATAGAGGAATCTGAAATTGCCTTAACCGTCGCCAATCGGGACCAACTTCGACTATAGTAGAATCCACGTATGAATTGAGGCTTAGGAAATCTGAAGTAAAAATTTGCTTCCTACATTTAATGACCACCCTAATGTGCATATGTATGTGTATATTCAAGCGTGCCTACCAACGTACACTCCACATCCCTTCATTCCGCATCGCGTATGATTGATGGTAATGAGTTCAGCACTAGTGAGAGGGCAAAGAATAAAGTCGACGGGGGCGAGTAGCTCTCGCATGCAACTGTCGACTGTCGACAAAGCCGTGTGACAGCCATATCAAAGTACCATTTTGCCATTTCTGAAAGTTCGCTTTGACTTTTTTGCGAATTTAAAAGCACGAAACAAAAGATG